TTAATTGAATCTAAGTTAAAGAAATCAGGATGATTCCTTGCGTCACAGCTTCTGGTGTTATGGACAGGAGACGCAACAAACCCGGGGTCGTTGTCCTTCAGTATCTCCCACATGTGCAGCCATTTATACAAGAGGGCTGCAGGAAGTGTCTGACTTACAGACTTAAGGAATTAGAATTAAAGTTTCTAAGGTCCGACAACCTCTGCTTGTTATTTAGGTCAAAGGATTGTGTGTTTCTCGTCTCTGTAGTGAAAAGCTCCGTTTACCACACACGGTTTAAATGGCTGGAAAAGAGCAGAGAGGCAGCGAAGCTCTGTCGTCAATAACATCCTCCGGTAATTTTTCCTGCTGTCAATCACGGCGAAGTGTCGGGGACTGTGATTCATACTGTACGTTTCACTCACATCTTTGCGTTTTTGTCCTTGATGACACCGACACACGACTCCTCGTTTACGACTTTGACGTATAACAGCTGCCGGGAGGCCGGCGCTCGCTGATAGAAAAACACTTCGCAGACGCCAATGAAGAATCTTTTTCCTGACACACTGACACAAAAGTTGTGTGGTCTTCAAACGCAGCTCTGCAGGAAAAAAAAAAACCCAAAAAACCAATGACTCAGAGTGAAACTACTTCCCTCAGATCAGGGCCAGGAAAACAGAGACCTCCAGAACATTCCCATGTGCTGCACTGAACAGATGTGACAGATGTGAGTTCTGGACAAAAATGGAAATTATACGTTTTTATTTTGTTTTTGTGAAGGTGGTTCATGTAAATATACCGACACTGAATATCACCAAAACGGGGATTTGGGGAGTTTTTGGTGACCACAGAAAGTTACAGAAAACTTTCCTCGTCGTCACGGCTCTCTGGGGTGCGATTCCTCATTTTAAGTGATTATTGATTATCTAAAAACCTTGCTCCTCTTCTCTTACATCACTTCTCACACACACACACACACACACACACACACACACACACACACACACACACACTCTTGCTGACTGACGTTTGATCTGCTTGGTCGTGTCAACATCACTGATGTCACAGAAAACCACCGTCTCTTTCAGTCTCTACTGTTTATAATATCAACATATATTAACAGGCTCTGTGATGGATATATATTAATGTAACTTATATGTGTACAATATATATATTTATATGGGCTAGATTTATGATTATGTCAATATATGACAATTGTTTCCAACAGGTTTCATATATAAGTTTTGAATATATGTTTTTATTTTAAATGTACATTTGTTTCATATATGGAAATTCGATATATGTATATATGTTACATTTGCGTTTCCTAACCGTTTACAGACCGAATGATTAATCGATCAATAAAGAAAATAATTGATGATTAATCTGTAGTGAAAATAATAATCAGCTGCAGCAGTATTTCTGTACATGTATAGTTGTATTTTTTTGAAACACCAAGTTATTTACAAAACTACGAGTGTAATTCACGTGAAGAAGAAAAGTCTACTTCCTGGTTTTAGACTTGTTTCTATCTCGGGAAAAACAGCCTGAAATGTAGTTAATATTAGTTGACACCCACTCACAACGATACTCCTGCTCAATTCTAATCACTTATTAATTTAATGGAATTACCAAAGCACTCTCATGTGCATCAGCCGAGACGACATATGTGTTTTCATATTTTGTTTTTGTTGTTTTGTTTTGTTTTTTCTTTTTCTGCCTTGTTTTGACAGCTGGATGAAAATGTATAATCACCAGCAGCTCAGCGTCTTGTCATCTTCCTTTCACAAAAGCAAACCAGTGATTTACAGCAGTTTGTGTCTGAGTGAATCGTATCTAAAGCCCCCCCCCCCCGATAGTCACGGGTGGATTTATCGTTTCTCTCTCACTCGACCCGCTGATGTTCTCCTCTGCCTTATTACTTTCATTCTTTAGATGATACCGATATTCAGTGGTGAAGTTATTCCTCTGGAACACACAGAGTCTTACTGGGATTAAGAAGGAGAGAGAGAGAGAGAGAGAGAGAGAGAGAGAGAGAGAGAGAGCATGAATGATAGTGAGAGAGAGAGAGAGAGAGAGAGAGAGAGAGAGAGAGAGAGAGAGAGAGAATGGCCAATCCCCCCTTGGAATCCACGCATTGTTTCCCCTCAGCCGATGGGGGGATTCTTATCAAAACGCTGCCAGGACTATCATGAAAGGATATGGTAATTATGGAAAACACACACACACACACACACATATACACACACACTCACACACACACAGCCAGGAAGGCGAGCGAGCACTGGGCTAATATAATGTGTCTGGTGTGGGGGGCTATTTACATACCCTTCCAGAGCGCTTGTCACATTCAATTAATTACTCTCTGGCAGTGTGACAAAGATGATTAAAAGGAATGATGAAAAATATTTCCTTATATGCCTCCAAAATTTCCACTAAGTCCTTTTTATTTATTTTTTGTTTTTTAAATGAAGCCAAAGGAAAACAAGGCACGCTGTCTTAGTAAAAGTTAAAGGTGGGTTCTTTCATTCCCAAGAGGGATTACAGAGCCGTTCCTTCTATTGAGGGAGGGAATGTAGAAAATGAGCCAGAGAGGATGTTTGCTGGAGCTGCTGTGATCATGAGCTGCGCTTTATTCTGGCGGGAGACAAAAAAAAAAGAAAGAAGCTGAAGCCTGTGGGGTAATGAGCTGCATCACAGCGTCCGTTCATAGCCTCCTCACATCTGATGTCTTTCGGCGAGCACAGCCTATTTAACACTGTCAGATCAATTAGTAGGTGAAGAAAGGGCTGGTGGTGGTGGTGGTGAGGGTGGTGGTGGTGGGGTGACGTGGAGCCTTTTGTTCAAACAGACACCGTGTGTGTGAAAGGGGGAGGTACAGTAGCGTTTAAGGGAATTTATCTCGGCAAGAAGGTTTTTTTGACTGAGCTTCGCCCGTTCGCACAAAAGAAAAACGGCCTGAATCGGAATTGTTGTGGTGAAACGTGTCGACTAAATCAAACACCGGGGATGTGACAGCCGTGTGGTGAGGTGTGGGGTGAGCTGTGGGTGGTGGGAGGAGCGAGGATGGTTGAGTGGGGGGGGGGTTTGCGAGTGAGGCAAATACCCCCTAGGTGCATATGAATACAGAAATCTACATTTCAAGTAGCGCCGCGCCTCCGGTGGCTTTGGATGTCTTGACTCCCGCCTGAAAAACGCTCCGGCTGCTTGAGCCTAATTTTTCACTTGTGACTACGAGGACTCCCGACCGCAGCCGAGCTCAATCCATTCGTCACGAGGGCTCCTGTCGGTGTGGACATTCTTCAAACAAAAATATAATTTTCTATGCAAGTGTCTGCCTGTGGAAACCCCCCCCCCACCCCTCCTCCGCTGTTTGGCCCTTTGTCAGGAAACATAATGGCTGGCTTCAGCCAGATTAGCCTCGTCTTTGGAGATTGCAGGTGCCGACTCTGACAGATATCTCCTTCATAAAAACAGGTTTCTCACCTGCTGGAAGAAACAGTGGCTGTTTGTTTTCACTGCAGATGAATTGTTTTATTCTGAAAAGGTGAGAGGCATCACTTCCCCCCCCCCCCCCCCCCCCCCCCCCCTTCATGAAGCTGTCTGCCATATAAACATTTCAAAGGTGAAATGGCTTTTTTAACGCCTTTCAAAATGTTAAATCTATTTAATGAGTTAACGTAACACAGTAAGTGCTCACCATTACAACAAATCAGAGTTTATAATCAACATCTCTGTAGTTTTACATCTCCTCTCTCAGGCTTCTCTCTGCAGCTCTAGTAACAACAGGTCGGTGAGCCAATCAGAAGAGAGGAGGCTCTGAGTCTCCCTTCTGATTGGCTCACTGTTTTCTGACTGATCCAATAAAAATATAGCAGATTTCAGGTAAAAACACTCAGAGAAACCAAATCCTGCAAGGTTTGGATGGTGGGTCCAGGTGGGCGGGGCTTGGTGACTGCTTTGTTGTGACATCACAAAGTTCCAGAAGTCCTGACGGCTGGTTTTAAGGCTCAGTTTCTGAATACAGGCTGTGTGCATTTCTCTGTGGACTGAGGCTTTGATACTTTCACAGTATTAATATAGAAGCTAGACCTGATCTATAATCACACTACACATGGACAGAGACCTTTACACTGGAGGAGCTTTAAATTTGCACATCCCTAAAAAGAACGATGGTGTATGACCTTGTCTCCACAGCACATGAGACCGATTCTAATGAGTTTGACACTGTGAGGTTTAAAGATTTTAAATTAAGGGAGAAAAAGCACAGAGGTGAGGTATCAGAACTAGTATTGGAGGAGAAAATGCTGTGTTTGTGTAAAACAGTTTGGAGTAACTGAAGCAGCCGCTCTGCCTACAAGCCCGAGGGCGTCCATGCATCACCGAGTTTCACTGCTCTCTCAGCCCTGCAGGAAATGTCTGCGCTTCACGTCACTTATACTGCTTACTCTGCCCACAGTGTGAAAGCTGGGCGGTCACACCTCCACCTTACACCCCCCCCCTCCCCCCTCTGCAACACTGCACACCAGAAGTCATCAGTTTAAGAAGAATAACAAACGCTGACTCCACAGAAACCCCCCCCCTCCCCAGCACAATGAAAGCTCTTACTCAAACCTTGATTGGCAGGAGCACCTCTGCCTCTCACCACACTCCCGACTCCGGAGAGGCAAAAATAAACCATGCGAACCAGTCCAGCCACAGCAGAAAGCCTCTTCCACCCTCAGGGAGCGTGAGCTAACACACCACTGTTGCTACGGCGATTCCTAATGGTAAACGCTGACAATCAGGTCAAATTGTGCAGATATTTATTTTATTTAGGCTGCTTACAAGGTCCATTCATTACGCCGCAGCCAGAGCAAACAGCGGTGCAAATATAGCACAATAATCTACCTGTGTTATTCATGTGACTCACTGAGCCGGCACAATCCACACACACACACACACACACACACACACAAACACACACACACGAGCGCCTCAGGTGTCAGAGTAAATAGCCCACACAATCAACAGGCTCCTACCTGCAATTTGGTGGCGGGTCCAAGGTTATCTCTGCGAGCTCCTTCTGGATTCTGAAAAGAGAGGAAGATCTGAGTTATAATCACACTCTCAAAACACACACACACACACACACACACACACACACACACACACACACAGACACACAGACATTTGTATAAATCCTGCCTGTAAAATCAATCTGTGAGTGTACTCAGTGAACACCTCATTGATTTTTTTCTAATGAGCTCCGCAGCACCGTGATTGAACACAGGAGTAAGTCCTGTCGCACAAGATCAACACGGGGACGCACGGATAAATATTTACCATTTTCTGACCCCGTGAGCGAAAATAAAAAAGACACTGGTTGTTGATATCAAACGGCCGCTTGCTGATCGTGGTCCTGTCTCGGCCCCTCGCGCTTTCACACTCAGCCGAGGCGTCAGGTTTCTCCCTGGTTAAGTATTCATTACGTTACCGTGCCAGTCGTTTGCATATACTTTATACTGTTACTATCACCCCGCCAGCTTTAAATGCAGCAGGTATTCTCTCCCGTGCAGACGGTTCCACCACGTCAGCCTCGTGTCATGTTTGAGCGAGTGGGAGTGAGCTGCTGCCCAAAGTGAAGGAGTTCAGGTGTGTTGGGGTCTTGTTCATAGGTGAGGGGGTGGGGTGGGGGGGGTGCAGAGACAGGCACATGGTCACAGTTTTTTCCGAGGACTTCAAGGACTCCTCGTTGCACCAGTGCAAACTCTAATCTACTGACAGGCAGTAAATGCACCTTGAGATGAAACTGTTTCTCATTGATTTCTACTCATCAAAATACAGTAACACCTGCTACTACGTTAATGTTGCTCGTGGAGCTGGCGGGCCAGCAGCTCACAAGATTACTGACCCAATCAACAACCGCGGTTCTCCAGGTAGTAGATTAATCTCCCTATCTCTGCAACACCTTTTGTCCGTTTACAGCTGCCACGGATGTCTTTGTAGATACGATTCCTTTTGAAAGATAAACTTGTATTTGGTATTTGTTGCTGCCAAACTGGTTTGTCTGGGGTTGGTTTAGTTCCACTGGAGTGTGAATGAAGGAGATGTGCATGATTAGTCGACTCAGAGATTAAATGTTGCTGCCCTTACTTGTCAGCAGGTTTAACTATTTATCAATATTTTATTAATGTACAGCGGCCAGTTATCTGTTGCGTCTTCGCTAATGCCCGGATGTTACAAACAAGCAAAGCGGATGACGCCTGGTTGGTTGTTTGGTTTGGCAACACGCTGATCTAGAAAATGAAAACGAGGTCGTAGGTCGGCCGTGTCAGAATAAACCTGCTATAGAAGAAGGCTATGGGTAAGAAGCTAGCATCGCTAACGTCAAGCGAATATGACATCGTTCACCCGCAGACGCTGTGATCCCGATTAAATTGTGGCCTAAAGTTAAAATTATTTTACAAGTACAAAGACCCTGAGAGATTTTCTTTTATTTCAATTTCCATTCCCCTTCCTCTTTTTTCCTGCTATAACTCAAAATGTTCAAGACACATAATAACAAAAAAATAAATAAAACTAAACAATTGACTCCTGGTATTGATCATGCAGTCTGCTCACTGTTGGCTGGGACACAGAAACAATTTGCTATTGGACGAGAGGGAGAAGAGAGACACGCAGTCGGCGTTGACATGATGTATTGTTCCAGCATTGATGACGCTTAATCACATCACACTACACTCTCACAGCTCCAGAGAAGTGTCCTCTGTCGAACGTGTCGAAATGCTGCTAGGGAAGATATATGAAGAGACGCTGGGGATTGTGGGTAATGACTCACATGACTATTTTACCATTTATTAGATAAATTTATTTATTAGATAACTTCTTTCTGTCAATCAAGGGTGAATTATAGTCTCAAATGTCAAACACAATGTCAGCAGTTACATTACAACTACTGTTTTGTGTGTGTGTGTGTGTGTGTGTGTGTGTGTGTGTGTGTTGTTCGGTTGAACCACTTGGCTGCGTCCTCACCTCTGCACAGCTGGCCCGTCGCAGCGTGACGTGGTTGTGTCAGATTGGGAAAAGTTAAAAGAGAGAAATGGTTTGGACCCCCCCCCCCCCCTTCCCCCCCCACTTTTACCCAGAACGCATTTGTGCCAAACGTCAGTTCCGGCGTAAATTTGTGTATCAGAGTCGCTGCTGTTCGACCCTCCGACAGAGTGTGAACGCTTCTAAACGGGTCACTAGGTACATTGTGTTGAAACGAACTTGAAGAATACAAAGGCCATCTAAAAAAAAAAAAAAAATGTAGGTACAATTACGGCACTTCATGTTAGAAGAACTCCTGGATGGCGAGCACATCACAGGTCGACGATACATAAACGGGTAACAGCCTCGAAGGGGGAGGGGGAATTCTCCTCAGTGGGGCAATGACTGCACACTTGGGGGGAAAAGAGGAGGGGAAAAAAAAAATATATATATTTGCAAAAGGAGCCTGTAATACAATCTCCACAGTTATGGAGTGATTCTCAGCTTGACTGCTTGCTGTGTAATTTTATCTGCAGTATTTCCTGAGGTGGCACATTTTGACAGCTGTGGCTGGGGACCTGTTAGAGAGAATGCTGCAATGAACGAGACCGGGGGAATCCGAAAAGGGGAAAAAAAAAAAAACTCATACTCATAATACCTGCAAGTTCTTCCTCCTCCTCCTCCTCCTCCTCCTCCTGCTGCACGGCCTCTTTAACCAAAAAACTTGCTTTTTCTCTAACGCTCCACGGCTCATTGCGTTTGATAATCCCTGGAGACACTGAAAGCACTAAACAAGTACATTCTGCAAACCTCGACAAATGAGTCAATATGATCTGAGCAAAGCTTTCATAATGCAGAGCCAGTGTTTCCCCCTCAGGTTGACGGTTTTGAGGCGGGGGGGGGGGGGGGGGGGGGGTGCAGCAGTCGGCTCCCAATCCGTTACCTGTGGTTGGCATCACTCAGAAAACAAGAGGCCAATCAGAGGAGAGGCTCGGAGGCGGACACAAAAAGCTCCGTTGTTGTTTTCGAGCTCCAGAGAGAAGTGTAAAACAGTACGATGTGCTGTAATGTACAATTTCATTTTTAAAACACATCTCTCTTTTGCCACGTTCACTCCAGAGTTTTAGAACCGCCTAAAACGGAGACTTTTGGAAACGCTGCTGGACACGTTTTTAGTTGGAAAACTCCGGGGTCGCGTCGTCGTCGTCTGGGCGGGAGGAAACGTAGAAGTGTGGGCGTAGCCTTAACTGAGCAGACTACCGCACGGTAGTGTTACCAGAAGTGACGTATCGGAGGGAGGGAGCTAGCTGGTTAGCATACTACCTTCAGTAAATGATGTAAGTGATAGAAACAAAAGTTTCTGCTTGACTGGCAAGGAAACAGCTAATGGCTGGCTAATCAGCCATAGCAAAAAAAAAAAAAAAAAAATTACATATAGCACCTTTAAAACCACAAACATATCTAATGGATCAAAACTTCAAAATAAAAACACCAGAAAAGTGTCAAAAATACGGGACCTTTAACTTACTGTCAGGTTAGCAACCGAGGGTCCAAATACACACTACAGATTTCAATTGTGTGCTTTTATTTTGGCGGCTTCCAGCGTGCCTGTTCCTCTACTACACCTCATCAACTTTGGTATCAGCGTCGACGCACAAGCTGAACTGTCAGTGCAGCTCGGCCGGCCTACTGTCCAATCAGACAACCTCTACATCGCCACGTGACATCCAGCGCCAGCCAGCCATGAACTGTGTCTCATCGGGGACAATGTCTGGCGTTGCTTTGAAATCTCTTTACGGTTTGAATTGTGTGTTTGCTAACGGCACGAGTCATTTTCCAGCAGCCTCTGAGATCTGAGATGACACACAGAACTCTTGTCTGTTCATTCACCGCTGTAGTAGGAATTCCTAAGAGGTTTAATGAATAGAACAATTCACTGTCGTAGGTGTGTAGGAGGGCTGTGTCAGGAAAATGCCTCGAGCGCACAGGAAGTGACGCTTTTTTATGTCCAAAGAATGTCACCGTAGAAGAGAAGAGAATAAATAAATCAAACCACATCATCCTTTTAACTAATGACTATTTTCATTATCAGTTAATCTCTCGGTTTTCTTTTCTTATTATCTCAGAATCCAAAGTGACATCCTCGAACTTGTCCGACCATCAGTCCCAAACCCAAAAGTATTCAGACGACACTAAGAACTAAGAACACAAAGTAAAAGACAATCAGAGAAACAGATCTACCTCTTGGCGCTGGTGGAGAGCTTGGCAGCGGTCTTGCTGGAGATTTTGGCCTCCTTCTTTTTGGGCTGGGTCTGGTCGCGCTGCTCGGGGCCCGACTGCTCCGGAGGGGCCGTCTCCCTCTGCTCGGCGTCCGAGCTTCCCCCGCTGGTGTTGGGGCTGTCGTCCGGCCTCGGCTGCACCTCACTGGACATGCTGACACTGCAGACACACGGGCAGCGTTAAACCGCAAACTGTGTGTGTACAATAAAAAAATAAAGGTTTTCTGCGTCTCATCAGAGCGACGAGACCTTCATCAAGACAGGTCCAATCAATATTTAGTAACTGCTGCAACTAATGATTATTTTCATTTCATTATCCATTTTTCTATTAGCCCTTTTCCACTGCATGGTGCCCGCTCGACTCCACTCGGTTTTCAATCAGGCAAAAGTTGTGGACAGTAGCTGCTACCTGCTACTTCAGAATCAGAATCTGAATCCTTTATTGATCCCCAGGGGGAAATACAGTTGCTCCTCAGCAAAGAATAGAGAATATGAAGAACCAAAATACAATAAAGATAAATACATACATAAATAGAAATATGCAAAGAAATATGTAAGTATATTAGTATTAAAATTTCACTTAAATTCCAAATTGCACTTCCCTATATGTATAAATAAAGGAAATATAAATTATCCGGTTTGATGGCAGGAATTAATTATCCGGTTTGACTTTTTTTTACTATTATTATCACCTCCGCCGAGGTTCGAAGCGAGCTGAGGCGATACCAAAAGGTGACATGAAAACACTGCAGACTTCTGATTGGTCAGAGAGAATCGTCACCAACCGTGTCATCATCATCCAAGACGGGATGTTCTGGACAAACTCGCCATTTTCAAACAGCCGCTCACTGTCACATTTCTGTTACTGTACTTTTAACACGGCAACCCGCAGACCCACACTGTCGTCATCGCTATAGTAACGATGCTGAATTAAGGGGGGCCACTATCTGCAGTGGGAAAAAAAAGAAGCTGCACAGAACACCTTTAGTTTTCTACTTTATTGTGACACTTCAGGTTTAAGGTTCTCCTCCGCTGAGGGAGTTGCTCAAGGGCGTTGCACAGAATCTCTTAAAAGTTTCCTTCGTTAAGACATTTGCAGCAGTGAAACAGATTTTACAGTAGTGAAATTCTTCCGTTTCCATGGAGACTGTTGATTCGCTGCCATTAGCTCTTGTGATAGCTGTGTGTAACATTAAAGAAACCGCTATCTCGTCCTGCTGTTGTTTTGAGGGGAACTTCTTAAGTGTCTAAGGTCTTTTGACTAAGATAAGGAGAGAACCTTAAATACTTTAGTGAATGTTTTAAGGAAAATATAAGGAGAAGATGTACGGGTGTTTTGTGCAACTATTTTCATTTTAAGGAAACTCAGACTTTAAAGAAAATCTTAACTTGAGGTCCTTGGTGTCAAACTAGTGCGTCCAAGTTCAAGAATAAATTTCATGCTTAATTCTCGAAGAATTTTGTGCTTACAAAGTCAATAAATAATGAACAATGCCCGACATAATTTCCCAGAATCCAATATACCGAGGAAATGTCAAGGTAAATGTTAAGGTAATCTTATTTTGTTCAATTTACAAATGATATAATAAAGAGGTTAAGAGGCTAGATCAGACAATGTGTAGCTTTTCTGCTTAATAAATGACTTACAATGATAATAATCAAGGAGTACTCCTGCAGAGGACTTCTGCTGTGTGTCTTTTTTTCCTGCCTTCTCTCGAATAAAGACATAAAAATACCCAAACTAATTACCCGGATGTCAATGTGTGATGAAGGTCGTGTAGTCTGCATCTATTTAAACATTAGCACACGTTCTCACAAAGAGACGATTTTTCCATGAGTCTCGTCCGCTCTCGTCTTTGTGTGATCTCAAAAAGGAAACATTTTTTAATTTGCGAGATTTGAGATTCGGAGCTGCAACAATTTGTCAATTTATCCATCGACATAAAGTTAATTGACAGAAGCAAAATTTGCAAATATTCACTGGTTCCAGCTTCTTAAATGTGACAATTTATTCTTCCAAGACAATAATAAACTGTTGGTCAGACAAGACGAGACATTTAAAAACATCTCCGTGGGCTGTGGAGACTTGTGATGAGCATTTTTCACAATTTTACAGAAATACTGTGTAGATAATAATCTGTAGATTAATCAATGATGGAGGCAGTCGTTAGTCGCAGCTCCCTCCTCTGAAAGACTTCTGCTAAACGCCCCTGAAGACAGGAGTGTAAAAAGTTAAAACACAGACAACATCCACGCTGAGCATCCGCTGGGCATGAGCCTTGAATCTCAATAATAAAAAGACACCTACAAGGTCACGTTCACTAAATCCAATTCCCCCATCACTCTGCCTGTGTGTGTGTGCGTGTGTGTGTGTGTGTATGTGTGTGTGTGTGTGTGAATCTCAAGGTGAAGGCCTCTATTTACATTCCCAGGTCTGCCATGACAAAAACGTTCACCTCGGCTTGTTGTGATCAAATTGGTGCAGAAGTTAAGGACAGATTGTTCAATAAACATGACAGCAGCTTTGGCGTGCAAGACTCGGCTTTTGACATTTGACAAACGGCCACTGCGCACACACTCTATCTGATGCAATTATAACTGCATTTGGTGGCGAGCTGATATGGGTGATAATTGGGAGAGGGGGGGGATTATAATGGTTTAGGATAACAACACAAGGGGGTTATCATTTCAAAAGGTTACGACATCTACATGTTCTGGTGAATGGAATCCTCTCGAGGGGGGGGGGGGGAGCTGTTATTATTAGGTGGGAAAATGATTTCCAGTTTTCAGGTGAGGATAAACACACAGGAGTCAGAAGTATATCACCTTGGGCTTTTTCCAGCAGAGATTTTGGGCAGATTGTTGGGTGTGTTTTTCTTTCCTCCGTTTAGGTGAGAAAACTGTCAGAACAACTCAACCATAACTACCAAAATTGGTTAAAGTAATCCAAATTGTGTGTTATTGAGCAGGCCTTACAGAAAATCACACCCAGGGGAGAAGCCACATTCCCCGCACTTGGACAAACATGTCCACTTCCACTTCAAACACTGAGCAGCAAGATAAAACGCTTGACGCTTATTTATTTCACTTTAAAACCATGTCTGCATTTAAGTATTTTGTAGTAAACAAACAATGACATTTTAAAGTTTCACACTGTTAGCTGTGGGCTCGCGCATTTCGGTGGGAAATACCTGGCGAGCTCTTGCGGAAGTTGAATTTTTTACTGGACTGAAGTGCAGTTCTGTGCAGCGGCGGTGAAGCCGAATTAAACAGTGGCTGCTAATGATTTTTTTAAAGGTCATTAAAAGGTGTTGCTGTGAGGTATATGCAGTGTTTGGACGGGAGTAGGTGTAAAATGGGTGATATTTCGGACGGATTTCGGGGAAGGAGGGGGGGGGGGGGGGCGGGGGACGTTCCCAAAAGGCACGCATCGGGCTAATGTTGAGGAGCCCCCCCCCTACCCCACACACACACCCACCACCCACCACCCCCCCTCATCAGCACTTATCGCCCCGGTCCCATGGCTTATCCACGAAGAGTTAGCAGCCAGACAGCCGCGGTATGAGACATCCTCACAGGCAGGACAAGATAAGAGCTGCACGGCACACTCACCATGATATCTAGCCTCCCCACCGCCGGAGCTCCCGCTGACCCCTGCTCAAAATCTGCTCCAGCACAAAAGACAGAATGGATGCCCCCGTCTCTTCCCAACCAACCAACCAACCAACCACCACCACCACCACCGCCCCCTCCCTGTAGGAGATAACGTAATAAAGCTCCATTCTGTCGGGAGGGTTACATTTCTTTTTTCTTTTTTTCTCTCTCTCTCTCTCTCTCTTTTTTTTTTTTTTTTTTTTTTTGTTGGGAGAATGCGCGCGACTCACCTTTCTAAGCGGGCTGGACGCACAGCGGCAGGAGAAACGTGTTTTTTTTTAATGTCCACCGTGTATTCCGTAATCCGTTACACTGGTCGTCCGCTCGCTTTAACGTCCGTTGCTTTGACTGACTGCTGGAGAATGTGCCAAAACCGCGACCGTCAGGTTACACCGTAGCGACGAGCACCGTGTCCGGTTCGAGCATGGCAAAATAAAAGCATGAATGAACGTGTTCTCGTGTCAGGCTGCATTTGAAGAAGACACCCACGGGAAGAATCGATATTTCTGCATATTTGCACAGCTCATAAATTATATATATATAAATTTGCTCATTGTAATGTATACAGTGTATATTGCTGTTGACTGCAATTTTTTTTTTTTAATTTCTTATTTTCTTACTGCATTAACATGAACAGAAATCTTTTTATTTTTTTTTTTATTTTTATTATTACTCTATATTCGTCAAATTTCAAAATTCATTCCGTTACACACACACACACACACACACACACACACACACATATATATATATATATATATTTAATAAATAAATGTAAGTAAAAAGGTAATAAAAAACAGGTTTAACTAATTTTGAACTATATAGCTGTTCTTATTCCTTTCTCCTCCTTTAACTCCCCCTGTCCTCCCCACAGGAATTTAAATCTTATCTTTAATAACGTACTGTTTGTTGTATGGGGGGGGTGGCAGTTCAGCAAAAACCAGAACATTTGCCAAAATAAATCATGTTTAGATGGCTGTTTTTTTTAACTAAATGGAGCCATGACTCTTGCTGATAATCTACTACTTGAACTCAAAACAGCACATTTTCTTACACCTTTGTTTTATCTTTTAAAAATCTAACACCTGATAAGTATCTTATTTTTAGGGCAAAGAATACCCACTTCCGGTTTCTTCCTTTTTTCCGGAACTTGACCAATCAGTCCTCCGTGCGCGCTCCCACGCGAGTGCGCGCAAACTGCGTGCTGTCTGAAGCGTTATGGCAGGCTTTGATGACAGTGTAGACTACAAAGGAAGTGGAAAAGAGAGTAACATCATGTAGGCTGTCAATCCAACCTTTTTCAGAAGTGCGCGTTAAGATTTCAGAGGCAGTTTCCTACGTTACAGCGATTTACAGTTCCGGTGCACGCACGGAGCCGCTATGTGTTTTGGTGACCTACAACTGGGCCAGATGTTGACCCCATCATCTAATCAATCTAAAACACTGGGGGTTATATTTAAATGAACAGTTAACACATCAGGTAGACACCTAAATAGTGTAAGTGCTTATATTTAATTAACTAATTTAATCTCCAAATTTTATCATTAGTTGATTGTCTATAGCACAATTATTTCAGAAATGAATTAACTGACATTTTAAACAAATTGGTGCCTTTATTTGTTCGTGGTCTGTGTCGACGGTGTCGAGCGAGTCACCGCTGCGGAACCTTTTTTTCATGTGGTCGGTGTTTCTCCACGGTGACGGACGTTAGCTCCTCAACGTGCGCCATTGAAATCAAACGTAGCCCAGACGGCGGGGGGGCAGTTTCTCTTCATTTTCTACACACTAACTAGCAGCCCTGTCTTGTCTTCAGTAAACGTCCGCCACATTTCTTTAAACAATGGAGACTATTTTAGAGCAACAGCGTCGCTATCACGAGGAGAAAGAGAGGCTAATGGATGCTAAAACGAAAGAAATGTTACACAAGAAGTCCACGGTAAGATGACCGCTTTATGGGTAGCTTTAGCACTGATGCTAACCAAATAATACAAACACGAGAAACATCTGCAACTTAACTAATGTTTTCAAATGTACCTTGTTTCTCTTTCTTATAGCTGCGAGACCAGATTAACTCTGACCATCGAACAAGAGCAATGTTGGATGTAAGCAAGAGGTTTCTATCTGTAACAAACAGCGGCAGGCTAACGCTAGTGTTGGCTGCTAGCTCGAGAAGTAAACATGTTTGTGCTCTATTAGAATCAGTAATACAGCGGCTTTTCTAGAGCTAAACAACGTAGCCACGTTACAAAGAAATCCCACTTCAAAATCAGTTATTTGTACCTTTTTAATTATAAAATATCAAGTCACGCTTCTATTCACTTCAATTAAACTGTTATTGATAGTATAGGTAGGATATACTGGAGTATACAGTATGCAAGTTGCCCACAATACAGGTTCTTATAGAGTAATATTTAAACATATATGTTTGGTTAACTGCTCAGAAGTTTAACTTTGCACGTATACAAAACAGCAATGCACTGTTAGAAGTTGGAGGGTGAAGAAGAGAGTTTAGTGAGACATTTTCTCCTTGTAACAAAGATGTTTCAGGAAGTTGGTTAAAAGTACATTGTTAAATATTTAATATGAAAACAAAGGCAGCCTGACAGTCTTTTCGTCTTTGACAGAGGTATATGGAAGTGAGCGCAAATCTCAGAGACTCCTATGAAGACAAAGATGGGTAAGTCTTTTCTAAGTGATTAACTCGCTCCAGTTTAAGTGGCTGTACCTGCTTTCTCCAAATTACAGGTGTTATATGAAGGATCAGGGTTGAACACAAAACCTTTTCGTAAATATTTGCTGTCAGAATGTATTTTTTTTTGTTAGTTTCAACTTTTATTTTTATTATCAACTACAGCCCAAGAACTGTCGTCAGAATATCTTCATTATTTTTGGTTCTTATTGGGACTTAATACATTCAGAACAGTCACTTAACCTGGTATATTGAACAAGAAATCATTTTTCTCATGGACAGAATGAGGAGGGATGAACTTGCCGCCATCTCGGGACCAAATGAGTTTGCAGAGTTCTACAACAGACTGAAACAGATAAAGGAGTTTCACAGAAAGCATCCAAATGAGGTAGATAACCTCCTGTCGGCTGTCAAAATAAAAGCTGCAGAAAATCTTTTTAAAGTGAATATTAACAACATTGCTGTTTGGGTTTCTCGTAGATTTCCATCCCCATGTCTGCAGAGTTTGAAGAGCTGATGAAGGCCAGAGACAACCCGAGCGAGGAGGCTCAGAGTGAGTTTAACAGGAAAACAGTTTCTTCTTCTATCTTACATTGACACTTGCAGATAATAGATGCTGTATATACTGTAGATAAATAAATAAGGAGATAAAAGAAAAGGAATAAATCCATATTGTAAATTTTTTTCCATTGAGGAAATGTAATTAAAAAGTTATGCTGTAAAGAATTTGCATATAAATAATAACGAGTAACACCTTTCTAATTGTGGTCAAATAGCTCATTCTTTTGAACCACGTTACACAGCCTGTATGGATGACTATGGTGACATTATAAACTACAGCAACTAACTTTGAACAACACTAACCTGTATGAAAAATGTAATATGAATAAAGTTTGATTGATTGATTTAATAAAATCATTTAATCAGTTTGAAAATGATGCAGAACAAAATCTTGTTTCTAGTGAAACCTAAACTTTTCATTGCAACACAGTCGTCCAGGCCTCTTCTGTGAAATCTGCCAAATTCAGTTATGAAAGTGACTGTGTGTGTGTGTGTGTGTGTGTGTGTGTGTGTGTGTGTGTGTGTGTGTGTGTGTGTGTGTGTGTCTTCTACAGACCTGGTGGAGTTCACCGATGAGGAAGGATACGGCCGTTACCTCGACCTGCACGACTGCTACCTGAAGTACATCAACCTGAAGGGAGCTGAGGTCATGATCCCTGTTTACGTCTGCACAATTCAGTCTTCACCCACCTCCTAAACTAGACCCTTATTTTTAACCCATGTCTATGTGTATGTCTGTTTCTACAGAAACCTGAGTATATCACTTACCTGTCTTCATTCGACCAGCTGTTCGACATCCCCAAGGACAGGAAAAATGCTGAATACAAAAAGTAGGTCCATCATGTTTATTCCCAACTTGAAGTGGGAAACACATCCAGCTATAAACCTCATCAGAGGTGAATGGATAATGTACATTAATGTGTATGTTTGGAGAACTGCTCTGTAAGACTAACGTGTGAGGTGGTGTGTGTCTGTGCAGGTATTTGGAGATGCTGCTTGAATACCTGCAGGACTACACGGACAGGGTCAAACCTCTGCTGGACCAGAACGAGCTCTACGGCAAAGTGCTGATGGACTTTGAGAAAAAGTGGGAGAACGGGACGTTTCCAGGCTGGCCCGTAAGTTCTCCTCACAGTCTTCACACGTGACGATGGTTCAGCTTTTTAGTTCACTCACCTGATCTGACCTGACGCTTCTCTCTTAATCTGGGGCTGCAGAAAGAGACGAGCAGTGCTTTGACTCACGCTGGAGCTCACCTGGACCTTTCTGCCTTTTCTTCCTGGGAGGTAAAAAAAAAAAAACTCTCAAGTGTTCAAACTTGAAGATTTATCCGTGAATATTAAGATTGCTCATTCACGCCTCTGCTGGTGTTTCACACAGGAGTTGGCCTCGTTGGGTCTGGACAGGCTGAAGTCTGCTCTCATGGCGTTGGGACTGAAGTGTGGAGGGTGAGCTCGTTGTTTCCCTGCAGAAATAACATAAAGCAGTAAAGACATAAACCTTTCTGCCCCCCCAAGAATATTAGAATTAATACATTTAAAGAGATTATTAAAATTAGAATGAAATAATTGAAGTGTTGAATGGGTTTTAATTTAAATTGTTGTGGAGAATATTTCAATGTATTGATGGAGCTCAGACACTGTACAGCATTCATTCTGACTGAAAGCAAGGACTCTGGATGGGAATTAAGCTTGAGCCAATATTTAATAATATAAAATAAGATTTCCTGATAGATGTCTGAAAATGTTTGTTTGTAATGTTTCGTTTTGCACAGTCAGCCCTGCTGCTGCATCCGAGCCTCGTTTCACGTGGCGGCATCACTTACACATGAAACATAAAATACATTAATATAATTATGTATTATTGCAAAACGGAACAGAAAAATAAAATACCCCCACTCCTCGATAATATCGTTATATTTGAGCTGCGTGGAGATATCACTGTTTGGATATCCCCCAAGCACTTATGATAAATATATCACAGCTATCACTTTGCATCATTGTTATTGGAAACAGGTTTAGGCCATAAAGAGATTTGTACGTGTGTGTGTGTGTGTGTGTGTGTTCAGGACTCTTAAATAGAGAGCGCAGAGACTCTTCAGCACTAAAGGCAAATCCCTGGAATCACTG